TGTTAAGTGGTCCCAGGCCAAGAAGAATTGAGTTCTTGGTGTGGATGTTACCTTTTGTTAAGCTCTGAACAGACCCAAACTTGATAAATGGTTTGGTCTCCAGACCGCATCTTGTATTCGGGGAAAATATTGCAGGTTTGCCAACTATGAGGTGTTGGATGTCAATAGTAATACAAATGTTCTAGAATATAGGCCATCACTAACTTGTATCAGATACTGAAATTTTGTGAAATACGAAACGAACGTGGCATTAGACAGACCTCGCAGGGCACGTAACGTTAATCATTGTCCCAACATTACCACACGTACTCCCCTGCTGGTCGGATTAGGAACCTCCCTCTTGTGTAATTTTCTCTGTCCAATTCTGTGTTAAAGACTGAGAGACAGTCAGTTAAAAACTGGTTTCCGTTCGAATAGACAACAAATAAAACATTAAATTTAAAAAATAAGATTAATTAAAATAAATACAAGCGTCCTAAAAAGATATATACACACACTCATTACATACATTAACATTGTGTATACATCTCTTTACGAGGATTTATTAGCCACCCTAAGATAATTACAGACAGATATTTGAATTAAAGTTACACAAAAATTAGTGAACTTAGGTGTAAATAAATAAATTAATTTAGATAAAAGCAATTAAAGGACAGATCTAATCTAGTCATGCATAATGTTTCAGGCTGTTATAATGTTTTATGTAAGATGTGTAAGAAATAATCTTTAAAAGTGCTGAAGTTGTTCTCAGCATAGAGGTCGAGCGAGAAGTGATGTCACCTGCGCAAAGGACTGATTTTGGTCGTGTGAGATGGACTCGTCCGAGCCACGCGCTAGAGGGGTGTCAGCTTCTGTCGGCTTTTAGCTCTAGCTGTGTTTAGTTCGGTGCGTCACCGCAGCTGAGGCTGTGCGACCCCCTCCCCTACTACTGAACCCCCCCTCTCTCGGCTTACACATCGCGCGTTTAGGTGGACACGATTACTCGCGCGAACTATACCAATAATATGAAATTGATACATGCTACTGTCCCCTGGCAACAAATGCAAAACTTTTGTCCCTCGTACACCAAAGTGTGTTTCATTCTTGAAGAATTCGTTTAAGAATTAAACAGTTTGTCCCTCGTACACCAAAGTGTGTTTAATTCTTGATGAATTCGAATAATAATTAAACAATTAATTTTTTTTTAATAAGAGTTCTGTCATGGTCTCGAGATTATGGGGCAGCCTGTATTATTTCCAGTTATTTCGGTAATTTTGTAGGAATTTGTTTCATGAAACGTGAAAGCAAGATTTTTGTCTTGTTAAGTGGTCCCAGGCCAAGAAGAATTGAGTTCTTGGTGTGGATGTTACCTTTTGTTAAGCTCTGAACAGACCCAAACTTGATAAATGGTTTGGTCTCCAGACCGCATCTTGTATTCGGGGAAAATATTGCAGGTTTGCCAACTATGAGGTGTTGGATGTCAATAGTAATACAAATGTTCTAGAATATAGGCCATCACTAACTTGTATCAGATACTGAAATTTTGTGAAATACGAAACGAACGTGGCATTAGACAGACCTCGCAGGGCACGTAACGTTAATCATTGTCCCAACATTACCACACGTACTCCCCTGCTGGTCGGATTAGGAACCTCCCTCTTGTGTAATTTTCTCTGTCCAATTCTGTGTTAAAGACTGAGAGACAGTCAGTTAAAAACTGGTTTCCGTTCGAATAGACAACAAATAAAACATTAAATTTAAAAAATAAGATTAATTAAAATAAATACAAGCGTCCTAAAAAGATATATACACACACTCATTACATACATTAACATTGTGTATACATCTCTTTACGATCCATTTATAATTTAAAGATATAAACAGATATTTGAATTAAAGTTACACAAAAATTAGTGAACTTAGGTGTAAATAAATAAATTAATTTAGATAAAAGCAATTAAAGGACAGATCTAATCTAGTCATGCATAATGTTTCAGGCTGTTATAATGTTTTATGTAAGATGTGTAAGAAATAATCTTTAAAAGTGCTGAAGTTGTTCTCAGCATAGAGGTCGAGCGAGAAGTGATGTCACCTGCGCAAAGGACTGATTTTGGTCGTGTGAGATGGACTCGTCCGAGCCACGCGCTAGAGGGGTGTCAGCTTCTGTCGGCTTTTAGCTCTAGCTGTGTTTAGTTCGGTGCGTCACCGCAGCTGAGGCTGTGCGACCCCCTCCCCTACTACTGAACCCCCCCTCTCTCGGCTTACACATCGCGCGTTTAGGTGGACACGATTACTCGCGCGAACTATACCAATAATATGAAATTGATACATGCTACTGTCCCCTGGCAACAAATGCAAAACTTTTGTCCCTCGTACACCAAAGTGTGTTTCATTCTTGAAGAATTCGTTTAAGAATTAAACAGTCAAAATGTATATATCAAAAACAATATAGTGACATTTTTTCAACTGTTCGTAACTTATAATTAATAAATCTAAAATAAAATTTCCCTTAATTCAAATGTAAACAATTTTGAGTGGTTCCCGGCGTCCGTGAAAAATCACCCAATATTTTTGCTATTCATGTTCGAATACAAAACTATTTTAAGAATAAGAACAGTATTCATTTTTATGACGGTTATTAACTATTAAACACTATAAAACACTATTGAAGTGTTAAACCAAACTTTTACATTGCACATCAGGTGCTGTAATTACATTATAAATATCACAACTTACGTAAACATGGAATGAGCAGTTGTCTTTATTAAAACTTTAACTACTATATTGTAATAATAATAATAATAAAGAATCGATGATAAGAAATAATTGGTTCTTCGTTGTGATAAAAAGTGATGTTCGTAATTTTAAAAATAGATATAAATTTACATGATTCGTCCTATCGAGAATTCGTAACTCGGAATGCACGATGTCACAACCCGGGAGTAATTCACCGCTGTAAAAACATCACGTCCCAACTAGATGCGAGTTTATGGGTTCGGCTTGTGTGAGTTGGATTGAGCTGGCTGTTGATGGTTGTAGCAAACAGTAGCATTGTAGCTGCGATAAGACCTCCCCTTGCTCGTGATAGATGCGGTCCCATTATAAAGTTGTAAGAGTTGTTAATGTTTTAACTACGTTATATTATCAAGTGCTGGTTGCTCTACCACAAAAACTTTGTGTGCAAATTTAACTAAGACTGGTAACACATCATTACTAGCATGCCCTCATTATGTATCTTGTCGGTAGATGGTGCTGGTACTCGTTTTGCATACTAATCATTTGGTGGCTTCGTTCCTCGTCTAATTACAGTAACCATCAGTAAGGAGAAGGATACGCTGTATTGCCCGTTCAGAAAACATTCGGTCTTTAGCAGTGAGAATTATATTTTCTCTGTGTGTAAACACCATGTCGTATGAAGGCATGTATTTAAGGCTTCGCGCGTGAGATTTAGGGTTCTCACAGCGGCAGGTATGAACATGGTTGTCTTGTGGGTTTCTGCGACATGTGGTCTGTAATAAGGTTACCGGCTTTTCAGAGGTGCTTGCTGCCTTCATCCTCAATGCGATGAGAACTTCTACCATATCCAGAGATAGTCTTAGATCAGTAAGGATAAAACAGCGTTCGGTTTGAGTTCTACACTTGGCATTGTTTTTGAGGTTAAAGTCAATAGAAATCGTATCACTCATAAGAAATAAGAAATACATCCACAATTTTGGTAGTAAAATTAAAATCTTGATTGAAAGAAAAAATAATATTGAAATGGATGTTGGTAAAATGTATTTTCAACGTGTGAACTTAATTGAGATGATTTATTAAGACTGGGGTATGGTACTATTATTGTTCGAACTTCAGATTATATTAAGAGAGTTTGTTAATTAGTTTGCTAAAATCTGGTTCAGCATTTGCTTCAAGTAGCGCGCAAGCTTGGCGCTACAATGACTAATTGTTTTATTACAGTCTCCATGGCATTAAATTAGTAAGGTAATTGATAAGAAATTGTTACACATCTATCACTTTGGAGAGGGTTAAATTTGCCAGAAATTATGTGGGTCTGTCTATACGTAATATATCCCTGATGTAAATCTGTTATTAATTTGTTTACATTTGTGTACAAAAGAAATTTTGGAATATCACTTTCTAGTGAAACCTCAACAACTGCTTGGCTGTGAAAATAATTTCAGTTTCGTTCTCAGGAATCCTGTTATAAAGCCAAGTTTGAAGATGTCATCTTCTGGGTTGTTGCGCCGTGTAGTCTGGTAGAAGTTTACAGATGTTTCAGTGGTCCTTTCAGCCTCTATCATCAGGGCGATAACCCAGAAGACAGCCATCTTCGGACTCACCGCCGTGAAAAACCTCAAATCCTTCAAAGCGAAGTTTGTCAATCAATCTCAATCCTGATCAGTTACAGAGCACCAGGAAATGTTTCACACAGGACAGAAAGGCTGAATCGTGAATCTAGCCATTCGCGTTAGTCTATAATGCAGTCATCCAGAATTCGTGGACTTTTATCTCCTCTCTGTTTGTCGTCAGTGGTAACTCACTGTCACCAACACGTTCTTCAGTTTAGAAAATTAAACCCACTATCTTTTTTCTCTGTAACTCTTATGATTAAACATTGGCAATCGATTTGTTTATTACTAATTCAAAAATTTATTTTCCTATATATTCCAAATATTTTGGCGTGCTAATTTTCTTGCTATAGAAGCCGTTTTCAGAAGCTGACTATAGATCATCCATAATCAATTCCCCATCTTTTTCGAACATTAAGATTAACTGCCGTATTATGGGCCAGATTAAAATCAATTTTAATATTATCCTCCCATTCACCTAGCTGTATATAATTTATCATATATGTTTAAATAGCAGTCATTAAAATAAAAGATTTTGGACAATTTGTTTTTGACACAAAATGAATAGTGTGGACATAATTCTTTCTTGATTTTAGTGAAAATAATCTGATGATATTAATCATGAATTTTGGACGGATGTGTAAAGACGGTGGCTCTCGATTTTTTGTACAGAATTTACCCGGAGGCAATGGTGGTCTTCGAGCTGGGATGTGAACTCGGAACTCTTGGAATAAGAAGCAAGAATGATCATCGTATTGTAAGTAATAATTAAAATATTTTACCAATTTAAAATTAATAATCATATTCTACTGTTTCTCTGTTCCTGAGTTTTTAAACTAAAATCACGACATTTTTGTTAACTCAGAAACTTCTTAAGCAACTGGTGTGGTTCAAGTTTTGCGTTCTGTTCTATCTGGTTTTTTTGCCTTTTAAATAAGTGGCCATCATCTAACTACGATTTTCCGTGCTTAGCCACACTTTCTTTTAACAAAATGAGATCTCGAGAGACACTGGTCTATCAGTGCTGGCATCACACTAAGATTAAAATTCCCATACCGGCTTTTGGAATTACTAAAACGTCCATTTATGACAGAATTGGGTTCAGTTAATGATTGGTGTTTCTTATTTAGAAAAATGTTTTTTTTTCAAAATTTTTGTCACCGAAATATATAAAAGCATCTAATTACCAAAAAAACATGGCTTAATCTGTGATCTTACTCAGCATTAATATAATAAGTAACCCTAAAATATTTAAACCTGTTTTCTTTGATATAGTATTCACATTAGGCTGCATTAGTGAGGGTTTTGTATGTTGCTTCGCTCAATATATTTTTTAAGGAACTGCATTCTCAGAATTTTCATAATAATAAGCTTCTGTAACAGAATTTTTAACGTAACAACTCTTAAGTCGTGGTGGATGGACCGCACCTTCAAGTTCTGTATTTTCCCCGCTACTTGAGAGAAGAAACATCTTTCAGTTTTGTAATTAACTATATAACCAACTACGTGGAACACAGTCCCTCCTGAGAACGAAGAAGGAGATTTCTCGCCATTTTTGGATGTAAAAGGTTTATTGACGTGTTAACAAGAGCTTATTATTTGTCTATATCCTAAGATCTCTTCTCCTGTTTCTTTAATCTCCGTCTTAATATTATATTCTCATCAACGAACAAGGTCCCCCCAAGTTGTCTCTGTATTCTCCATCGGGTATTTAATGTGAATAAAATTTATTTTAACCTGGAACTGCTATATAACATTCAAGAAAGTTCACAGTTTTGCGGTCTACAGTTTATGAACCACTGTTTTAAAAAACGTGTTTGTGTTTTTGTTCAACCTTCTGACTGCTGTGAACTTATTTTAACTCTGGCTTTATACCAACGCCACTGATACCAAAATTCGTAATTAGACACGATCCTAAATCAGTTTCGTCCACCTACCGCCCTCATAACCTCTCTCTCTCTCTCTCTCTTATTCTCTGAGAAATTACCCTCCAAGGTTCTTCCAAATAGAACAGTTGACATTTTCGAAGAGGTTTCCGTACCAAAATTCTGTATGCCTTCTTCATCTCCTTCAAACTCACCACGTGCTTGATCACGTGACTAGGATGTAGGAGACTGACTCAAAATAATTGTAAGCATCTTTAAACAAGGCAAAAGTTTTAGGATGTAAAATATTTATATATATTTTCTACTTGTGTTGTTGAAATTTGTATTTATATGAGCTGTCTTGTAGCTGGAACACTGAACCTGTGTGCGCAGAACTTTTCACTAGGACATTAGTTGTTAGTGTTTGACTTATCGATTTCTTATAAGAAATACATCGAGGCATGCTCTCCCTTCTTCATCCCTGCGATACGCATAACAAAGCCATGTGTGCAAAGACGAGTCTTACTTTTTATTTCATGAAGGGAATTATTTGTAAAACACTCAATAGAAATATATCTTTATGAATTTGAATATATCTCGTGGGTGTCTGGAAACTGAAAGTAATAGCGAAGTACTTCTGCGGTTAAGTTTGTGGAGGATATTTGTATATTCAGATTCTGCATAGGTTTAAGTTATTTTACGACGTTGTCTCAACTGCATAGGTTACCTAACGTTGCTGGATATGAAAAGATGATAATGAATGGTAAATATAAGATGGCTGTCTTCTGCGTTGTTGCAGAAGTTTACCGACGTTTCGGAAATACTCGTTGTCTTCATCGTTAGGGTGATGAGTGCAACACGGAGTTTTCCATTCACACACAGAAGAAGGCAATGGCAAACCACTTCTGGATCATCTGCCAAGAACGTATATGAACAGGTCCCAGTCCGAGAAAAGGATGGAAGGATCCTGTTCATACGGACCTGTCGTCAGACAGAACACTAAATAAAATATAAAATAAAATTACAGTTACGTAATCTGTTCGATTACTTGTGACATATAACAGTACTTTCTTCTCACGGTTAAAATGCTAATGTCACAGAAAGGATTTAATCACGATTATCCTGCACGGAGTTTTCGTCCGTGGCATCCCAACAATTACTCCATTCACACACAGAAGCAGGCAATGGCAAACCACTTCTGGATCATCTGCCAAGAACGTATATGAACAGGTCCCAGTCCGAGAAAAGGATGGAAGGATCCTGTTCATATGGACCTGTCGTCACACAGAACACTAAATAAATAATATAATAAATAATTTCAAGCGATCACTACTTATCATTCTAACGGCTTCGCTCCTATCCTAAACTTACTAGAAGGACGAGCGGGCATTGCCTGGGAACCTTCTAGCTATAAGATGTTCTGTCTCCCCCTTCTCTCTCTCTCTGTCTTCGAAGGGTTAAGAACCGCGCCCCTGTCTCCTAGCAACGGGGTTTGGCAGGACGGCTAGTAGCAGCGTTGGGGCACTAAAGATGGAAGTTGCAGTTGCATTGCCAGCCATTAGGAAGAATCCGGTGCAGCCATCTTACTTAATCCTTCGCAAGAACATCGGCGCACTCGGGGTGTTTAAACAGCCCTCGTGTTTCGATGCCAACTGGAGACATTCAAAAAATAAATAGTTCCTCTCAGACTCATTCTGGCTCGAGATACTGTCAGTGCGTCAGGGATTTTGCGAAGACTTCAGTTTTGTCTTAATCCCCCCCCTGTCTTTGATTCAGCTGGAATCCATTTGTTAACAGATTAATGAATTTGGATGTAGGGAGCTAAGGAGAATATTTAGACTGAATGAGAAGAAGATAACATTTCATTCGTATGTAAAATTGTTCTTTTGGATGTTGTCTGTTGTATAAATTTCAATATTTTAGAGTTTCGACGTTTCGGAAGTTTCTACTTCCATCTTTAAGTAATAAAGAGAATAAGAGGACAGAAATACCATCTTCTGGGCTTTCTGGTTGAGTTATTGATTGATTTAATTATTTAAAATATATTCATGATCTGACCTGCAGTTCTCGTTAATTTATTTAGAAAATCGCCCAGATTTGCTTCTGTATGCCAGTACATATCTTGCCCAAGTTTTGTAAATTTTAAGTCTAGTATATATTTGTTCTAATGAAATTCTGGAACCTGAGTTATTTCTGTAGTCGCTCTTAAAAATGATTAGGTACATATTTTCACTTGATATCTACGTATTTTATTTATTATTTTATTTAGTGTTCTGTCTGACGACAGGTCCATATGAACAGGATCCTTCCATCCTTTTCTCGGACTGGGACCTGTTCATATACGTTCTTGGCAGATGATCCAGAAGTGGTTTGCCATTGCCTTCTTCTGTGTGTGAATGGAGTAATTGTTGGGATGCCACGGAGGAAAACTCCGTGTTGCCTAGACCACGGCCTTGCCCAACACAAGTTATAAATTCGGGCACCGCCGGGAATCGAACCCGAGACCCCAGGATTACGTATATGAAACTTGAAAAGAATTTGATGTTATGGTAAGTTTTTGTTAAGCCAGGAAACAGAGATCCCGGGGTAGGGACTGTTTATTTTTATTCCCCAGACAGATGGACAGACTAAGGTAATATTTCTCGCATCCTTAATTGAATTCTCATACTGTCATGTCTCGGTCCCCCGAGCCTTGTTACTGGATAGTAGAGGCTGTTGGAGACACTTCACAATCCCTTAAAAATCCTATCGTGTTTCAGAATTAGAATGCAACAGGCAGCTTTCAATTCGTAACCGTGTTTCAGGTGTTATATTTGGTAGGCCTGTAGGTGATGTTT